TTACCAAGGTTCATAGATCTTACATTCCAGGTTCCTATGCAGTATTTTTCTTTGCAGCATCGGACTTTCCTTTCACTTCTTTTCATTGTACTGGCTATATTTCTGAGTGTGAAGGTAGTTTTTAAAAGAAGAGGTCAAGACTGTTATAAGTATCTTATACAACCTTGCCAGCCTCAGGATTACTACTAGTTCTCTCCCCTTCTTTCCCTGGAACGTGAAACATCAATACAATGGCCAAAATCCTGTTGCTTAGTGTAGTAAATTGCCCTAGAGTAGATCCCACAATCAATGGATTTGGTGAGCAAATTCCTTCATAAGTTCCAATGATTCAAATGGGCCTACTCTGAGACTAATCAATATGGAGGAACTGACTCCCCAAAGCCTCACTGATTCAATGGGCGTACTCTAATGCAATTTACCTTGCTGAGCAATAGGATTTGGGCCAATATATTCTGTACCTCTCAGTCCATGTTGCTAAGAAGCTACTTACCCATTTGTGTGTCTGCAAATTTCTTTACAAAAAGACTCTGCAGCTTGTGCTTCCTCACTATTGTTCTGTAACTGAGTGGAGGGGCACACTGTGCAAAAATAGATTAAAATGAAAACAAACATTTTATCTACCTTATTTTATGCAATAACATATACTGTAGAACAACATCTGTCCAATAATTTATACAATTTTCACATATTTTGTGTTTACATCTATCTACAGGATGTAAAAAGAAGTAATATTCCCAGGCCATGCCTACATCCAGGCAAATACAGAGGTTAAAGAAAACATATCTTTTTTAGCCACCAGTTTGGTAATATTCTTTGGGCAAACAAGCTGATGCAATTGATTAGAGCAGGGATGAGCAAGGTCTGAGAGTTCGGGGCCAAGTTCAAGCCACCAGCCCTCAATGTGAGCTGCACCAGGCCTTGAAATACCAGAAAATGCACTCCACAACCCCCAAAAATCAAAATGGTGGTCCAGATGGGTACACCAAGTTTATCTTGGAAGGATGGAACATTCCCTTTGCAGGCTAAGGAAGAGAACAATTACAACTCTTGGAAACCTTTTTTATTGAGATGCAACAGGCCTTTTTTGGATAAAAATCTGGGTAGTGTTTAGAATGGCCACCAGTTGCCAACACTAGATTGATCCTTTTGTTGGCTGAATACTGATACACCTTATTGAGGTGTATATGGGCTACAAGAAACAAGAAGCAGCCATTCAACCAAATAGTTAGGCTGTGGTATGGAGAGAAGTCACGGCTAATCACTGTAATGTTTTTGTAATTTCTGTGCAAGGGTAAAATAATACTCTTGGTAGAACCCGTCTCTTGGGCATCAACTTTTTCCCACTTAGACATCTGTAATTATCAATGCTCTACTTTACAACTATATGTAGCTATTTTTGTGAAATGGAAAGCATCACAGTTTCCTTCCAGAACATTTAAAAGTGACTAATCATATTGCCCTGGAATGGTTAAAAAAAGAGGTATATCTACCTGTTGTTGTAGTGAGAATAATTTGTGTTATGTGTGCCATAGTAACCAAATAGAAGAGGTAGAGATTATTACAGGCAGAACTAATAGATGAAGGTTGCAAGTCCACAGTTTCTTCCCAATACAAAGATGGAAAGGATAACACAGCAGCAACCTAGAGAGGAAACAAGAAACTGGTCACACTGGCAGGCAGGAGACACAAACAATCAACATACAATGCTGAAGTAACATTTCCAGATTTCAGCCAGGATCCTACTAAGACTCTGCTGAGAAGAAAGGCTCACTAGCACGGTGATGTTGGATTATGCCACTTTCACGGATGTTAGCGTTGCACAAGCAGTGCTTCCCACTGGGAAAAAAAAAACTGATTTATTCTTAATGTGGGAATAAGTTGGATTATGCCACTTTCACGGATGTTAGCATTGCACAAGCAGTGCTTCCCACTGGAAAAAAACTGATTTATTCTTAATGCGGGAATAAGAGATAGATAGAGTGATGGACTAGAATTCTGGAGAAAGGAACACCAGTATTGACTACGAGATGTTCATTTTATGTAACAGGAGGAGGATATCCTCAAGAGATGGGCTGTCCCTCCTACTCACTTCCACAGGCAGAACTGATTAGCCAATCAGGTGGCAGTAGGACTCCCTTAAGAGGGAGAGACCAACTTTGGCTGAACCAGTCTTTGTCTCCAGCCACCAAAAAAAAAAAGATAATATAAACAATACAGTACAGTCAAGAAATAACAGGAATGGCAAGTGACCCTCCAAGGACCAGGTCATAATAATCCAAGGGAGGGAGAGGATGTCCTCTTTCTGCTACATAAAATGAGCTTCTCATGGTGAGCACCAATGTTCCTTTTTCCTGTAGTAGAGAAGGACATCCTCAAGAGATGGGATTTACCAAAGCCTAATGTCCTAGGGTGGGACCAAGAAGAACTTCACCTGCCCTCTACAAGTAGAAAAACCATTCAAACTGGACTTTGGAGAGGTCCTTCACCTGCTGAAGGACTCTTCTCCCAATGCCACCTCAGCTGAGGTAAGCAGTTCATGTGGTAATGCCTGGCAAAGGAAGGGTGCACTTGAACCAGATCTCTGATAGCACAAAGGCTATTGGCCACCTAAACAGGGATGGCTTAACTTTAGAATATCCTGTTTTCCCATGGTGGAAATTGGAAGCACACAAAAAAAGATATCGATATGCTAAAGTATCTAGATTGTCTGAACATTTGTTTTGTGTATGTGTCCTCCTTACCAAGATTTATGCCAAATCTTTTCAAGAGGCCTGAAGGGATGAAGAGATGAGCTGAAGACAAGGTTGAGGCAGGCCTGTGAGAAGCGCAGGCAGAAACGAACTGGTTCAGCCAGGGTTGGTCCCTCCCTCTTAAGGGAGTCCTTGGGTAATCAGCACTGCTTGTAAAAGTGAGTAGGAGGGAGAACTCATCTCTTGAGGATGTCCTCCTCTTCTATAGGAAAACACGGTTCAAATCCTCAGTTGGCCATGGAAATTCATTGGAGGAGTGGAGTTGATAAAAAAACACTCCTTAATTTTGTCTCAATTACCTTCAAAGCCCTATCAGGGTCACTATAAGTTGGTTCCAACTTGACGGCACAGAACGCACATATCCTTGTGCAAGTGGTGTAAATTCCAAATCACTGACATCTACAGTCCACTGCAAAAGTGGCATGATTGAATATGATGCCAGTCTATTACATTACTAAAGAATCTTTAAGCAAAAAGAACAAGGAATGTGTTTTTGACTGCAGTTTCTGTGGTCCACAGGGAAAAGCAAAATAAAAAATAATAGTTACAGAATTTGTCGTAGTTCAACACCTTAGAGTCAATTTTAGGAATAAATATAAGTCAAGTCCAAGGTAAGCCAAAAGTATCTCAACATATTCCCCACAAATGGCTACCAAAAGAAGGCAGTACAGACTTGACCCCAGAGTGTGTGAACCATGGGACTAATATGCATATAGAGTAAGTCTCAATACATACCAAAACATGGAACAGATCTACATCTAGAATAGATGGTGTGTCTTCCACCTTTAAACTGGGTAAAAGAACTATAAAAGCAAAACACAGATATAAAAATTGATTGCTTTCAGTAAAGCTAAAATTGATATTGAAGGAAGAGCTTACAGTATTAATGAATACAGGATTTTACCTTTCCCATCATGGACCCTTTATGCCTTCCCCTCTAAATGTTTTGACTATTTGAGAAAAGGTACTTTTTCAAAAACGTTTAAAACTCTTCCCAAAATGTATTATAAAAACAATTACCTCCTAGGAGACGCACAAGATGATGCTGAATCAGGCTTTGTGTAAATGTAATCCTCTGGGCAGCTGCAAACTGCACCAGTGACTTAAGACCACTGTGCTAGAAGGTGAACAAAATCAAGAGAAAAGTTTGATTAGGGGGATTGTACTTGTCTCTGTTATCTTTTTTTTAAAAAAATAATCTTCTAATGGCTGGGGATAAAAGAATCTGGCAGCAAGCTCTATGATATTTCCTACTACATTTATAGTAACCAAGGGATAAAGAATTTAACTGAAGAAGACAGCAACTGAATTGTTAAGTCTGGCTTAGTTAAAAGCATAAATACAAACAGAAAATATGCAGGTAATAAGACATTGGCATACACATGAGGCAGAAGTGGGTTGCAAGTAGACCTAGGCTTCCAAAATGTGTCTTATTAAAGGGAGCATTCATTGAGACAGCTGATGGCTGAGATACTTTAGGTCCAAATTTTTGCTGTGAACATGAAGCTGTCACACAGCCTTGAATCACAACCAAAGTTGGGTACCTTGGAGCAGTCCAACCTCATCTGAACTCTTGCTTAGCACCAGATCTACAATGCAGGATACAAGTACAGCATTCTAAACAGACACCCACCCAGTCTCTGCTCAAATACCTCCAGTATTCGGAAGCATCTTATGGGAATAGGTATTAACTTAACAAAAGTCATAAATAAAATGCAGTGACTGCCAGGTTCCCACACTAGCATCTTGTAGACTTAATTTATTGTTTCTTGTTACTTTTGATACTGTATCTATCACTGAAATCAGAATCTAATGCAGAAAGCAACCCCTTGCATCTTGTCCATAGGGCTTATCAGAAACTACAATCTCTCAGACACCTGTCTGCATTGCAAAATGGCTTTCAGACTGTCATCCACAGTCACAATACAGTACTTACTCTTATCTCTATAGTATGTTGCATACATTAACTTTCTATTTTTCAAATACAATATGACTTTACACAAAAACACTATAGATAACGTAGCAGAAACCTCTTTCCAAATGTAGCATTAGTAGTAATGGCAGTCATGTAATAGGAATCACTACATTTTGTATCATCCATACCTGTCTATTTTGCAGGCAACCAAATAAGGCCTTGACCTCATCTTCTAGAAGATTTTCTTAAAATAAAATAAAGAAAAATTATAGCAATCTATGTATAGGTTTGTTTGAATTTCAGTTTCATTAACCCTTTTTCATCTTGATGTAAAACCTTATTGATTTATTCTGAATTCATTAATAGGACAAAACTGGGGCTTTTTATGTGGTGCTAATACTGTTATATTGCTGGATATCATCCAATACAGTAAAGAAGAACCCTCCCTCAGATGCTAATACTCTGTCATGTGATCCTCTCTCTACCCATCTTCAACACAATTCACCTTAAGTAGCAGACACATGCCAGGCAGTGATCTCCCATTTCTGTAACTATGGCTCTATTAAGTTAATATATGTCTCATACTTACCAAACCACTATAATAGCTTTCCCCATATAGAAAACAATGTTTCTGAAGAAGAGAGGTTCCTGCTGATGTATAGGCTCTCCATGTGAGCAAAATGCTTGGGAAATTATGATTCTTCCTCACACAGAGAACCTTCATTATTTCAGGACCTTTCTCCTTTTCAGATCTGTTGCTCTCCACATAGAGAATATGATGATGGAAAGAGGAGGCTCAGTTGCTCCTTTTTAAGTATGTTACTGAAAAAGAGCTAAATAATAACTAACTAGAGCTTAATGCTGCCATTCAATATTTGTATAAAATGTATACAGAACATGCTAATTATTCAATTAACTTTCAGACTGAGAGTAGCAAAAGAAGCACATTATCGCCTAAGAGTTGGTGTGCCCCAGAGTGAGACCATGGTTCTAAATGCCCTTTGATTATGAACTCACTGACTCTTGCTTTCTCCATCCTCTTCTCTCTTTCTCAATATAAGTACCATATCAATATTTGTATAAAATGTATACAGAACATGCTAATTATTCAATTAACTTTCAGACTGAGAGTAGCAAAAGAAGCACATTATCGCCTAAGAGTTGGTGTGCCCCAGAGTGAGACCATGGTTCTAAATGCCCTTTGATTATGAACTCACTGACTCTTGCTTTCTCCATCCTCTTCTCTCTTTCTCAATATAAGTACCATAATCTGCAGTGCCGTCTGTAAGCCGAGGGTCCACTGTATAAGTACCATCATCTGCAGTAGAAGGACAGCACTGATCTGTCCTTCAGGATTACTAAAACGAACATATGTGGAGCAATTTGAACACTGGAAAAACACAATATAAACAATGAAGCACTATTGCTTCAGAATAAATGATTGGTACTTCTATGCAATGGCCATCAGAAATGAGCCTTGATATATTCATTAAGACTCACTTCAACATAACAGAAAATTACCAATGGTGCTTTGACTTGCGAACTTAATCTGTTCCAGTAAGACTCACTTCAACATAACAGAAAATTAATTACCATAGATGTACAGTGGTGCTTTGACTTACGAACTTAATCTGTTCCACAAGATCATTGTAACTCAAAGCACCATTTCCCATGGGAATGCATTGAAACATGATTAATCTGTTCCAGCCAGGAAAAAAAATCACAACATAACAAAACAAAACAAAAACAAAAACATTGCAAGACCCATCAGAAACGCGATTAATCTGTTCTGGCCAAAGGGGAAAAAAACCCCCAAAGCAAACAAACCCTGCAAGACCCATCAGAAATGGAGGGGGAAAAAAACAAAAGCAAACAAACGCTGCAAAACCCATTGGAAACGTGAAAGCCCCCCAAAAACAAAGACTGCAAGACCCATCACAGCACAGAAACACAATCCCCCAGCCCAAACCCACGCTGCAAAACCCACCCAGAACAGGCAGTTTTAAAAAGCAGAAAGCAGTTCCTTACCAGGGAGTCCGAAGCCTCCTCCGAATGCACACTCTCTAACCGCTAGGGCGAAAGAGCTACAAAAAAGCAGCCTCTTTGCCACCAATGGTTAGCAGTTTGAATTCCCCGCCTTTTTCCCGATCGTAACTTGAAGCTCCGGTCGCAAGTCGAAGCAAAATTTTGCGGCCGGAGCTGGTCATAATGCGAACTGGTCGCAAGTCAGGATGGTCACTACAGGCACCACTGTAGATGTATTATGCCTTTTTAGCAATGACGTTCAAAGATATTTCTGGTTCCCTTATCACTTTCACATACAACTAAAAATCTATGTAAACTGAGGTGGCAATGTGGAGTCTTTAAATGATAAGATCTAATGTTTACACCATCTGGGAACACAGTATATTTTGCAGAACACAGATCTGAGATCAGTGCTGGAGTAAAATTTAGAATTATGAGCTACTAGGAATACAGTCTTAACTAGTCAGCATGACTGAGGACTGAAGAGATGAAGTTGTGGAAAACTGAAACCTCTCCCAGCCTCGTGGTCCCAGAATTTACTTAGGATTACCTTCCCCTTTTGTCTTATTTTGTGTTAGGACAGGGTCCATGTCACTGGGCTGAAGGAGGTGTGGATGTGGCATTCATCACTCTGCCCCTTCTTTACCCCTATTTTGGCACTTGTTCTAACAGACTTAGGGCAGCCAAGCATTATCTAAGAAGATGTTCGAGATCTGCCTGCACAAAAAAGGTTCAGCAAATAATGGCATTTCTGCTAGCAAAAGAGGCTTATTCCAAACTCCCTAGAAACAGGGATCTTTTGGCCTTGCAGAAGTTTCAAAAATTTCTGGAGGTACACAGCTAATATAATATATAGCTAACACATTAAAAATCTAGCATTCTACTTCTGCCTTACCTAAACACTGAATAGTAAAAGCACATGTGCTCCAAGTCATTGCAGGGACATGTGGATCAGTTTCATTGGGAGGAACTTTTAATCCAATTCTGTAAATTGCAGAGGCAAAGCAAACCACCATATCCTTGATACTCTCTGAGTATTTCACTCTGTGGAGAGAGTCAGCAGAACAGATTCTCAACCAGTGGCAACAAATGGAGTTTTAAGAAATAGATTCTAAGAATATTCGTACAATCATGTTTACTTTTGTCACTTGTCATCCTTGGTAACAGACTTAAAATCCTAGGGACATGTCAACCTGAAATGTGTTTTAGATATCTGCCCCCTCTTAAGATCTCTGCATTCTGAAGATAAAATTATAAAAATGACTCTAACTATATCCCTAAGACAAAAATGATCAATAATTAGAAATAACTCAGTCAAAGGCTCTCTTTTTGCCATTTCTGTTTGATAAATGTCCTCAGAAAGAATGATCAAAATGGGCCTTATAAATGAGCTTTAGCACAGATTTTTTAAAAATGCATTCTGTATATAGACTCAGAGTGAAAATAATACACCAGAAAATTACTATAAAAGGAATACAAGTGTGATAGGATACACACATCTTTAGCATGTAAACACAACTCCCTTTAAACACATGAGAACTTTTCAGCTCAAAAAATGACCATATCATCTAAATCAAAATCCTCATTTTTAAGATCACAGAAGAAACAATACCCAATATGCACTTTCTTGATTGAGCTAAAAGAATGAGAAAAGTGATACTTACAGTGGCTGAACTCCAAAACTAAGAATAGAATGAAAATCAGAAGAGGCATCTTCCATCTCTCTATCAAGTAAAGATGGAGCAATGCATTTTCCTTGTTTCAAATAAAGAAAGAAATGTGCAAGTCAATTTCACATAGTTTAATTAACAGAAATAAAAGTATTTATTTTATTGTTATAGCAAACCAATTTCATTAGATAGACAGGGCTCTCCACATTTTGGACTACAACTCACACTGCTATTTTTCATTAGCCATACAGGCTGGGGATTCTGGGCATTGTCCAAAACATGTGGCGTACCAAAGATTTGCCAACCCTGGACTAGAGTATAATAATTCCGATATAGCAATTTATCCTAGCAACTCAGCGATCAAATTTAATATATAGCTGACCACATCAATATACTTATAGAGAAATCTTTTAATACCAATTTTCAGCTAAAGCATCAAATGCAGGAAAACACAACATAAAATCATAAAATGTACTGAGAAGTCAATCTAGCATAAGAGATAAGAAGTTACAAAAAAATAACCACATCAGAAACACATTCCAAAAAACAAGACAACAGAAAAAAGGGAGAGATAGATGAAGCCTCCAACAGATTTCCGTACAATCAATAAGCACAAGAAATAGCATCATAGACCATTAACTCTGTATGAGAGGTCTAATTTCGTCTTTTTTCAGCTCTTTACTCTTTGAGAGTCCTAAGTTGTACTTTGAGAAGAACTTTAAAAGATACTTGAATTATCTGTAACTAAATTAAGACAGTTACAATGCAGAATCCTACAAAACTGCACTTGAAATTAGTAACAGGATGCCTAAGAGTGAAATCAAGCACTGCATCTCCCTAAAATTTTCATCAAAAGCTCCTCCTAGATTTTGAGGACATGTTGCAAAGTGATGGGGCAGAGAGAATCACTCCTTCCCTGCTTTGAAGATGGAAGCAATTCCATCATCAGACATAACTGGATACTAACCCAAGTTTTAAGATATTCCAGCTTCTTAAACTTCCTCTAAAATTAAAAGTTCTGGATGAAAAGTACCAACCTTCAGTATTTTTCTTGTTGTAGCCAGATAGTCGGGCCAAAAGAATCTCTATCCACTTGGGGAGAGAGAGAAGCTGAGCTACCACCAATGCATCCTCACTGGCAACAGAAAAAGACAATGACAGTTTTCACAAGCATATCCAAAATTCTAATCCCTATAACCCAGTATTTAAAATGCTCATGGCTACCTGGGATTGAACCCAGGTCGTGAGCACAGTTTTGGCTGCAGTATAGCAGTTTAACCACTGTGCCACTGCCCTTGTTACATCTCAAGTGGTTTACTGTAACACGCTCTATGTGGGGCTTGCCTTTGGAAAGTGTTCAGAAAATCCAAAGGGTCCAAAACGCAGCAGATGGATTGCTGGCTGGGGATGTGACTTCCATTAGAGCACCTACACTGACTGCCAATCCATTTCGGGGCACAATTCAAAGTGCTGGTTTTAACCTATAAAGCTCTAAATGGCTTGGGTCCAAGCTATCTAAAAGACTGCATCTCCCTCTGTGAGCCTGCCCAGGCATTAAGATCATCAAGGGAGGCCTTCTCTGTCGTTGCTCCAAGACTCTGGAACTCCCTCCCAGAGGAAACAATGCTGGCCTCATCATTGCTAGTCTTCCAGAAGCAGGCAAATACTTTTATCTTCAGGCAGGCTTTCCCTTAATAACAGGTGGTCCAAGAGGGGTTTTTAAATGGATTGTTGTGCTCTGTTGTTTTAAATTTGTTTCAGTATAGATTTTATTACTGTTTTAATATAATGCCTGTTTAATTCTTTTTTAAAAAATTTGTATACCTACTGTTTTTAGCCTTTAAAAATTGTCTTTTTAATTATGTATGCCACCTTGGGTTCTTTGTTAGGATAAAGGTGGGATAAATATATTTTAAATAAATATATACTTTTTTTAGCAAATTTGTCAATTTATATATATAAAAGCATAAAATATGGTGTTTCTTCACAGCAGAAAAGGCTCTTCAAACAGGCAGTAGGATATATCATACCTAGCATAAAATATTTGTATATAAGTTGAAAAGAATTATCTAATTTTCTGTTTAAATATTACATGGGAAAAATCAAATGTTTTATCATACCTGTTTATTTTTTGTGTTTCCAAAGGAATGATTGGTATCACAGTATTGCAGAGGGATTTACAAAGAGGACAGAGGTACTCTCCATTGTCCAGATCAAAAACTTGTTCAACATGATGACGCTGCCGAGAGTTTAGCTGAATGGCTTCAAAGTATCTGTAATAGTCCAACAGACAACCAAGAGGAAGGCTTATAATGCAACAAGCAAAAACAGAGTTGTGATAAGCATTTAGTCCTCTTCTACACCAAAATATTTTGTCATTGTGTACTTGGCTTATGTTTTAACTCTGCACACAAGCAAAAGATGAAAGGAATATCTGGGGCCATTCAGAGCAAAAACATGTATCCTGTTCAAGATATTTCGGAAGATCAGTGAAAGCAGTATGTAATGAAAACATTTAAGAGACACTATAGACCCCAACAGCTGATTAGAGGTTCCCCCTCCTTGTCGCAAGACCCCCAAAGCCTTTTCCAGGGCAACACAATTATGCCCACTGTAGTACTGAGAATTATATTATCTTCAGCAGCACCTAAAGAAGATATCTGAATATGCCTGGTTAACTGCCCAGCTTACATCTCGACTCTTTGCTCACACAAAGATATACAGTACAGTACTGTGTCACCATTCAAATACAAGTGCTATACTGTAGTTCATTAGATACTTCTGTTTTGCTGTAAAGGGGGTAAAGTGTGGGTACTCCCCAAGACTAATAGTGCATTCAGAATTTAGCCTGGAATGTAATGCTTGAGATACAGGTTCTACAGGTATGGTTCTGTGGCTGACACTCCCAGAATTCTGCTCTGGAGAATTCTAGAAGAATGCTGGAAGTTGCAGTCTCAAAAGCACACACAAATGGCACAGACTTAAAGCAGTCGTGCAAGTCAAACATTATTCAAAGGCAAGATTTCTCACATATACAGTATATACAACAGTTGAAACCAAAACATTAGACTGTATAATTGGTAAATTATATTATATAATTGGAATATTTCAATAATGTTTTATAACTTACTAGCTAAAATCCTATCGGTGTTATATAAGGCTTCTGTAGTTTGTTGTGACTAATTTCAGCTATTTAAAAAAATTGTCAGGGTGTATCTCAAACACACATATAATTGGTCAACCAAGATGTGCTCT